CCGTCCACGCGGGGCGTCAGGACGTACGGGGAGGGCTGTGGGCGGAGGCGAGGGTCACGTTTCCTTCTGTCCGTTTACTGATCCAGGGACGCATGAATGCATAGACACACACAACACTTAATAAGCCGTCCAGAAGGAGGCTCGCTCACCGTGATGTAGGGCGTCACGGCCATCAGCCTGCTCGACGGGGACGTCCCTGAGGCAGTCGACGAGCGCCGTGCTGTTGGCGGCGTCCGCGCGCTCGCCCGGACAGCCCACCATGCGGGCCGAAGAGGCCACCTGCCGGTGGTCCTCCCGAGCGCCCAGGGACACAGCGCCGCCCCCGACTGCATGATGGCTCGCTGGAAGAGGCCTTCGGCGGGAGAGGAAGGAAATTAGAGACGGGAGAAGTCTCTTGGGCGACAAATTACGCATCTGCCATAGGATGGAACGTGGATGAGCTTGAGATAATCTTTAGAAACAATCATATGCTCAAGGTCTGAATTCTCTCTGTCTACATATACACACTTCCTGTCATGAGAGCCGGACCAATGGACTATCAGCATCTAAACCTCACCATCATCTTGGACATTAACCACCTAGACGAACCTACTGTGGCCATGAGATGGATTTCCTCTGGCCAGAAAGACGGACTTACCACTGGACATGGGAGACAGCATGTGGTAGTGCACAGCCGCGCCCCCCGCGTTCTGGCCGAAGATGGTGACCTTGTCTGGGTCTCCGCCGAGGTCGCGGATGTTGTCCTGCACCCAGCGAAGGGTTGCCAGGGAGCTCGGCGTCCTCGGTCGACAGGAATCCTGAGGGAATCGACCGCATTAGCCCTTCATGGCTCTGGTGCAATGACGAGCAAGCGAGAATTGACAAAATGCACTAGATGAGAAATAGTCTTTATCAGATACTCAGCGTAATCCCATCTGATCACCGACAAGAAAGCCATCTTCGCACGCAACATGCCAACATAGACACCGGAAGCGGCACCGACACGAACCCAGGACGCCGAGGCGGTGCTGCAGGACGACGAGGACCACGTCCTTCGCCAGGAGGAACTCCGGCTGGAACAGGGGCGTCGCGTCGCTGATGAAGCCTCCTTGGGGAAGCCACACCATCACGGGGAGGTCAGTCCGGTTGGGCTGAAACGCCATTCGGATTTCTAGTCGTAAGCTTACCAGTGGTTGCAAAAATACATGCGAAAGTTAATGTCAACCATTAAATCTTTATATTATAATTATTTAAAAGTAATGAGGCTGCAATGGTGCTGGAACCCATCTGGACGAGGAGGAACAAAGGTCACAAACTCACTGGGTGTTCCCGGGCAGCGCCTCCGCCCCGCGCGCTCCTCCTCCCGAGGCGACTCACCTGCGGCGTGAACACGGAGAGGGTAGAGGCAGTCCTCCCTGCATCCAGTCCGAGGGCGCGTCCGGCTGCGGGCACAAGGGCGGGGCCACGGTGCCGTTCCTCAGCCCTCACCACGCCCCGGCGGCCACGGGATCCTGCGGGGGATTTTTCTCTGTGACGCTCGGGGGAGGGATTGGCGCTGGCATGCACGAAGTTAGTCAGAAGTTGACCGGAATATTGTGGTTGGTGTAAAGATTATAATAGTGGAGATATGTTTTAAAAGACGACAGGAGACACCCGAGTTAAATGAAATAATCTGAAGGAGAAACGTCGATCAGAGCAAAACATGAATGGAAATAGTGAAATCATGCTAAAAGAAGAGATTGGGGTTAGCAGAAGGAATGTCGGAACAGCCGCGGAATCACTTTGGAGAAGAGGGTTCCGAGGCCTCCGCGGGGGTGACCGAGTCTGCGCCCGTCCGCCCTTCCCTGACCCCTCCACCCGGTCCCTTCCGCCCCCCTGATCCTCCAACCTCTCCCCCTGACCCCCGGCCGCTGACCTTGAACCTGAGTGCCCCGACCGGAGGCTGAGCGAAGGGAATGCCCAGGAAGCCGTAGAAGGCCTGCCGCCCTTGGCCTCGGACCTCGAGCCCACGATGGCGCCCTGCTGGAGCTGCACCTCGACCGTCTCCGCCGCCGCGCTGCTCAGCCACAGCAGCGCAGCAGAAGCCAATAGCAGCCGCATCTTCGCTCTGCCGACGAAGGAAAGCCGTTTTGTAGATATCCAATTATTTGGTTTGTTTGCTTTGTTGACGCAAGACGCGACAGCAAGGTGTCTCGCAGGACATACCTCTTCAGGATTTCTTCTTCGACTCGACTTTCCACGGGACGACGGGCGCTGCTGCGGTTCCTCCGGAGGCTGAGGCGCAAGTGACTCCCGGCGTCGCTGCGCAGAGTTTTACAGGGCCGCGAGGGGAGGGCGGGGGGGAGGGGGTGGTTGGGGCATCATGGGGGGGTTACGTCATGTTTTCCAGGGGCTTTGGTCATTGAGGTCCGCTTATCTCTGACGAAAAATCACGGGTTTCCTCTTATCAGGTCTTCTTTTTTGCGCCCGATTTTCTCAGAACTTTCGTTGAAAATGAAAAGATGAAATCATCCACAAATGATGGAGGATGAAGAGGGAGAAGGGGAAGGACAGACTGGAGAAAAGCAGAAATAGAGGGGAGGAGAAAGATGAGAAGGAGGACAAAGAGAAAAGGAGGAATGAGAAGGAGAAGAAAAGGAAGAAGTAGAAGGCGGAGGAGGAGAAAGAGAAGAAGGGAGAGCAGGAGAAGAATTAGGAGAAAAGAGGAAGAAGAGGAAATAAGAAGAATGAGGATTAGGGGAAGGAAGAGGAGGAAAGAAGACAAAGGAGAAGGAAGAGGGGGAGAGAGGAGGAGAAGGAAAAGAAGAAAGAAGATGAGAGGAGAAGTCAGAAAAAGAAGATGGAGAAGGAGCGAGCGCTGACCCTCAACCCCAGGCGCCATCTGTTGCCCCCAGTGCTGAACGGAGACCCAGGACCCAGCCGGACCACACAAACACACACACACAAAACGCACACACAATAATATTATATATATATATATATATTATATATATTATATAATATATATATATATATATATGTATATATAGTATATATATATGTATATATATAATATATAATATATATATATATATATATATAATATATATATATATATATGTATATAGTTAATATATATTATAATTATATATATAATATCATTGGTAGCAAACACACGCACACAGGTGTTGACAAACAAGACACACACAGTCACACACACACACAAACACAGAACAAACACAAACGATAACCACACACACACACACACACACACACAAAACACCACACACACGACACGCACACACGCACACACACAACGATAGTACGTTTATTATTAAATTATATATGTTATTTATATTATGTTTATATATAATATATAATATAGTATATTGCAGTGTGTGGTGTGTGTGCGCATTGCGTGTGCGTGGTGTGTGAGTTGTTGGTGTGTGTTGTGTGTGGTGTGTGTGGTGGTGTGTGTGTGTGTGTGTGTTTGTGTGTGGTGTTGTGTGTGTGTGTGTGTGTGGTGTGTTGTGTGTGTGGTGTGTCTGTGTGTGTGTGTGTGTGTGTGCGTGTGTTATTATATATATATATTATATATTAGTATATATATATATATATGTATATATATATATATATATATAGTATAATAGATATGTATTATGTCATATATATACATGATATATATGTATATTTGTAACATATATTATATTATTTATATATATACATATATATATATATATATATATATATATATTTAATATATATATATATATTAGTTAATATAAATATGTGTATATATCGTGTTTGTGTGGTGTGTGTTTTGTGTGGTCCGGCTGGGGTCCTGGGTCTCCGTTTCAGCACTGGGGGCAACAGATGGCGCTGGGGTTGAGGGTCAGCGCTCGCTCCTTCTCCATCTTCTTTTTCTGAGACTTCTCCTCCATCTTCTTCTTTTTCCTTTTCTTATCCTCCTTCTCCCCCCTCTTCCTTCTCCTTTGTCTTCTTTCCTCCTCTTCCTTCCCCTAATACTCATTCTTCTTCTTATTTCCTCTTCTTCCTCTTTTCTCCTAATTCTTCTCCTGCTCTCCCTTCTTCTCTTTCTCCTCCTCCGCCTTCTACTTCTTCCTCTTCTCCTTCTCATTCCTCCTTTTCTCTTTGTCCTTCTCTCATCTTCTCCTCCCTCTCTATTTCTGCTTTTCTCCAGTCTGTCCTTCCCCTTCTCCCTCTTCATCCTCCATCATTTGTGGATGATTTCATCTTTCATTTTCAACGAAAGTTCTGAGAAAATCGGGCGCAAAAAAGAAGACCTGATAAAGAGGAAACCCGTGATTTTCGTCAGAGATAAGCGGACCTCATGACCAAAGCCCTGGGAAAACATGACGTAACCCCCATGATGCCCCAACCACCCCCTCCCCCCGCCCTCCCCTCGCGGCCCTGTAAAACTCTGCGCAGCGACGCCGGGAGTCACTTGCGCCTCAGCCTCCGGAGGAACCGCAGCAGCGCCCGTCGTCCGTGGAAAGTCGAGTCGAAGAAGAAATCCTGAAGAGGTATGTCCTGCGAGACATCTTGTGTCGTCTTGCGTCAACAAAGCAAACAAACCAAAATAATTGGACATCTACAAGACGACTTTCCTTCGTCGGCAGAGCGAAGATGCGGCTGCTATTGGCTTCTGCTGCGCTGCTGTGGCTGAGCGCAGCGGCGGCGGAGACGGTCGAGGTGCAGCTCCAGCAGGGCGCCATCGTGGGCTCGAGGTCCGAGGCCAAGGGCGGCAGGGCCTTCTACGGCTTCCTGGGCATTCCCTTCGCTCAGCCTCCGGTCGGGGCACTCAGGTTCAAGGTCAGCGGCCGGGGGTCAGGGGGAGAGGTTGGAGGATCAGGGGGGGCGGAAGGGACCGGGCGAGGGGTCAGGGAAGGGCGGAGAGGGCGCAGACTCGGTCACCCCCGCGGAGGCCTCGGAACCCCTTCTCCAAAGTGATTCCGCGGCTGTTCCGACATTCCTTCTGCTAACCCCAATCTCTTCTTTTAGCATGATTTCACTATTTCCATTCATGTTTTGCTCTGATCGATGTTTCTCCTTCAGATTATTTCATTTAACTCGGATGTCTCCTGTCGTCTTTTAAAATATATCTCCACTATTATAATCTTTACACCAACCACAATATTCCGGTCAACTTCTGCCTAACTTCGTGCATGCCAGCGCCAATCCCTTCCCGAGCGTCACAGAGAAAAATCCCCGCAGGATCCCGTGGCCGCCGGGGCGTGGGAGGGCGTGAGGAACGGCACCGTGGCCCCGCCCTTGTGCCCGCAGCCGGACGCGCCCTCGGACTGGATGCAGGAGGACTGCCTCTACCTCTCCGTGTTCACGCCGCAGGTGAGTCGCCTCGGGAGGAGGAGCGCGCGGGCGGAGGCGCTGCCCGGGAACAGCCAGTGGTTTGTGACCTTTGCTCCTCCTCGTCCAGATGGGTTCCAGCACCACTGCTGCCTCATTACTTTTAAATAATAATAATATAAAGATTTAATGGTTGACATTAACTTTCGCATGTATTTTTGCAACCATTGGTAAGCTTACAACTAGAAATCCGAATGGCGTTTCAGCCCAACCGGACTGACCTCCCCGTGATGGTGTGGCTTCCCCAAGGAGGCTTCATCAGCGACGCGACGCCCCTGTTCCAGCCGGAGTTCCTCCTGGCGAAGGACGTGGTCCTCGTCGTCCTGCAGCACCGCCTCGGCGTCCTGGGTTCGTGTCGGTGCCGCTTCCGGTGTCTATGTTGGCATGTTGCGTGCGAAAGTGGCTTTCTTGTCGGTGATCAGATGGGATTACGCTGAGTATCTGATTAAGACTATTTTTCATCTAGTGCATTTTGTCAATTCTCGCTTTCTCGTCATTGCACCAGAGCCATGAAGGGCTAATGCGGTCGATTCCCTCAGGATTCCTGTCGACCGAGGACGCCGAGCTCCCTGGCAACCTGGGGCTGAAGGACCAGGCGATGGCCCTTCGCTGGGTGCAGGACAACATCCGCGACCTCGGCGGAGACCCAGACAAGGTCACCATCTTCGGCCAGAACGCGGGGGGCGCGGCTGTGCACTACCACATGCTGTCTCCCATGTCCAGTGGTAAGTCCGTCCTGGCCAGAGGAAATTCCATCTCATGGCCAGCAGTATCTCATGGCCAAGGTTCCTATTCGAGATGTGGGGAAGAGGTAAGGATGTATGTGTAGACAGAGAGAATTCAGACCCTGAGCATATGATGGTTGACTAAAGATTATCTCAAGCTCATCCACGTCCCATCTGCGGCAGATGCGTAATTTGTCGCCCAAGAGACTTCTCCCGTCTCTAATTTCCTTCCTCTCCCGCCGAAGGCCTCTTCCAGCGAGCCATCATGCAGTCGGGGGCGGCGCTGTGTCCCTGGGCGCTCCGGGAGGACCACCGGCAGGTGGCCTTCGGCTTCGGCCGCATGGTGGGCTGTCCGGGCGACCGCGCGGACGCCGCCAACAGCACGGCGCTCGTCGACTGCCTCAGGGACGTCCCCGTCGAGCAGCTGATGGCCGTGACGCCCTACATCACGGTGAGCGAGCTCCTTCTGGACGGCTTATTGGTGTGTGTGTGTGTGTCTATGTGCATTCATGCGTCCCTGGATCAGTAAACGGACAGAAGGAAACGTGACCCTCGCCTCCGCCCACAGCCCTCCCCGTACGTCCTGACGCCCCGCGTGGACGGCGAGTTCCTGCCCGCCCACCCCGCCACGCTGGTCAGGGAAGGCCGCTACAACCGCGTCGACGTCCTCTCCGGCGTGACGCGGGACGAGGGCGCCTTCAACGCCAGAGGTGAGGGCCGGCGCCTGGCTCCGTCCTCGCAGCCACAAATACCATTTCAATCATTTATAAAGACTTCCTTTCCCGCATATGCTGCACAGCATTTCGCCACCTGGCGGTCGAACTTTGAAGTAAAGGGAACCTCTTTCTCGCTTCCTCCTCAGCGTTCGTGGAGGACGGCGTCATGGACAGCATGATCCAGAACTTCAGCCTCGTGGGCCCCCCCGCCCTCGGCTTCGAGGCCTGGGACGACGACCCCGAGTACCTGGCCCGCCTGGCCTTCCACAGGTACCTGGGGCCCATGGAGTTCGACCTGACCAGGATCGACCCTCTCGTCAAGGTAAGACCAGCAGGGCATCGCCAGACGCCACGGGCCTGTTAGAATGGTCTTTGGAGCGACTGCGCCTCAGTCAGTACCTCGGCCTGACCCCGACCCTCCTCCCCCTCCCCAGCTCCTCGGCGACAGCTTCTACAGCATGTGCCACGTGGAGGCCGTCGAGCACCACGCGCGCGACGCCGCCTTCGGCTTC